GAGAATGACAGATAATTTGCAGATGGAGCAATATGACCTATAGACTTCAGAAGATGGACTGATGGTGCAACAAAAGTCTTTCCTTGATGTTGGCGGTGAGCCATCCATTGGGAGTAGTAGACTCATCAGCATTATCAGCTAACTAGAGATGGGAAAACATAAGACTCAAGACTGTCCAAGAGGTTTGGTTTTACAAATATTATTGCTTATGCCTGTTGTTTTGAATTTAGGATTGAAGAACTATCTTCTTATCATGAAACCATCAGTGGTAGCGTCTCTAAACAATGGTTGCTAGCCATGAAAGAAGAGATTGAATCTTTACATAAAAATTATACTTGGGTTCTAGTGGAGAAACCTGAAAATATCAAAATTATCGGACATAGATGGATCTTTAAACTAATAATGGATACTCGCAGTGATTATATACCAAAGTATAAAGCTAGGCTGACAGGCAAAGAATACTCCCAAAGTGAAGGTTTGGATTATAATGATATTTTTTTTATCAGTTGTTAAACAAATTTTCATAAAAGTGATATTATCTCTAATAGCTAAATTCAGTTTGGAGCTCGACCAAATGGATGTTAAAACGGTCTTCTCGCTGATTAACTTAGAGGAAACTATCTATATACAACAACTCAAGGGATTCAATAATGGGAATAATAATCTAGTATGTCAGTTTAAAAGATCCATTTATGAATTAAAATAATCCTTAAGTCAATGGTATGCTCGATTTAATGATTTTTTTAGAATTCTTGATTTTGATAGATTTCAATCAGATCATTGTGTCTATTTGAAAAAAGTCCACCGATTCTAATATTTTGGTATATTTGTTGATTTTACTCGTAGGAAGCAAAAGCAAATCTGAAATTCATCTGTTAAAGGGGGCAATTGTCTAATGAATTTGAAATGAAGGATATGGGAGCTGCCAATAAGATTTTAGGAATGGAAATAATAGAAAGTAGATTGGAAAGTCAAAGTTTTCTTTCACCGAAGACCAACATGAAGCATGTGTTAGAAAAATTCGGGATGCTTAATTCTAAGGCAGTGTATACGCCTCTAGCTACTTTGGCCGTCAAGGAGGGTTTATGGCTTCAAGATTTTATGAAAGAGTGGGTTTTGTTCAAGAAAAAAACTCATAATATTCTGTGATAAGCAGAGCACTATGCACCTATTAAAAAAAATCCTATTTTTCATGGGAGGTCAAAATATATTGCTATCAAGTTGCATTCTATTAGGGATATTATTGCACCTGAATGTATTGAAGTGAAGAAAATTTCTAGTTCGGATAATCTGGCAGATATGATGACAAAATGTTTACCCATTGCTAGACTCACATTCTGTTTATACCTAGTCAAGTGTTATGATCTTGATTAACAGTTAAATCAGAATCAAGGTGGAGTTTGTTATATTGGTGTTCTCATTTTAATTTGCTAATCAATGCTTTTATTATAATTACTGTTCCCTTTCTTTTTTCCTGTTTATTCTTTTTATTTACCAGTCCTTTGCCTCTGTATATTTATCGGAGTGAGAGGGTTGTGCAGACGCACTTGGGAGACTATATTCTGATTTCTATTTTTCAAATCATTTGACAATAAAGATTGTCGTTTTTTATTGTGTCTCGTCTAGTCTGTTTCTTGTTATCTGAGATTGCTTTGTGCAACCTGGGAACATCTTAATTATTCAAGATTTTCAATAATATTTAACTCCCGTGGCTACTTATTCAATAACAATCTGCTTGTTTAGATTTTCTTAGATAGTTTTTGTTGCCTTGGTATCATCTGGTTTTGCCAAAACGTGAGTGAGAATATTGAGTTTTTACCTTAAATTGATCTCCTTAAAGAGCACTCTTTGATCGAAGAGAAAGGCCGGGTAAAGAAATCAGAAGGAGAAATGAAGATATAAAATGATGGTTATATATGATTGTGGGCATCATTGCTTACTAGTATGAGATTAGTAGCGATGCTTGTACGTTTTGTGATCAATTCATTCTCCAATGTTACTAAAGATCAAGTACAAAAGTTGGAACTTATCTTTCATCTCTTAACTAATGAATTCATCATCATGATATTCTTTTGTAAACACTTTCAGTGATTATTGGACTCTTACAAAATATCTCATGTTCATACGAGAAAGAATTTAATCTTAGGAGATAGAGTGCTATGAATATGATGGTACTTCACCTTTAATATCTAGGGTTTGTTTAACTTTGTTGTTTTAGACATGATGCGGTCCCATAATTTAATATTCATTCTGATGGGCAGAGCGGCCCTGGCTAAAGAAGTCCCTTTTTATGTTGCGCTTTTTTCTTATACAAACAACATGCATATCTCCCATTATGTTGTTTCGTACTTGGGGTGGTGATTATGCAAGTGACGATATGCATATCTCCCATTATCTTTGAGTAGAATGTAGTCTAAAGAGTTGGGGAACATTAGCTATGTCAATTTAGCATTGAGTTAGTTTACTTTGTAATTATAGGCATCATGTTAGGGAGTTTCTATGATCATTATTATTGAAGTAATGAGCTTTGGTTTTAAGCCTTTAAATTCAGTTTTGTATTTGGAATCCTTAACTTCTATTCGCAGCAGATAATGGAAATTATGCCGGGAAGATTTTCATGATAAACCTTTGGTTGTTTTACTCGAGCGACTTTTTGTGCAAAGTAGACTAAATGGATTGAAAGCACGAAGCATTGACATCTATGTTTTAGAGAAATAAGCCACAATGAAGTTGAATATGAACTATTTTTTTTATCTCAAAATGGAGACATTGAACATATAATAAAAGAAGAATCGATCTTATTGCAAAGCCAAGGATTAACAATAAAAGCGAACAAGATGACTAGAATAGAAGTGAAAGTAACCAAGCAGCCATCAAAGGGTAAGATACAAGGTTGGTAGACTATGACTTCTAATACTTGAGTTTGCTAATCTCTCCCTCCTTTCTCTCTCTCTCTCTCACACATGTTTTCTTTAAATTAGTCAATAATAATGTGCTGTCCATATTCCTGTTTTTTATAGTTGAGAATATGCGGTCAACCAATACAGGGTCATAGTACTGTTAAAGAACTTTACGATCCATTATTTATCATATATATGAATAGAGAAGCCATCATCCATGTACTTAAGAAACCAAAATAAATAAATTTCAGAAAAGAGAAGCAAAGGGTGATATCTAACAAAAGCGGAAGGCTCTTGTATGCGGCAACATTGGTTTAGCAGATAATTCTATTTTTTTGTTTATTGTTGATGAATTTGTTGACTACCTTTATATAACATGATGCAGTATATCATAAATAAGGAGGGAATTAGCTATGTGCCCGAATAGTCTCTGCGCCATGTTGTCTGTCTGCACAATTTCTTTATGACATTGGCATTTGGTAATAATATGCAACGTGCTATTCGTTTATCACATGCCTGCATGCCCAATTTATTGAATGTACGTGAAACATCAATTCACGGCCATTTTTTTTATTTCTCTTTATACCATTTGGTCATTTTTAAAGGCTCGAAAACTGTAGAAAAAATAGCAATCCCTTGGAAAGAATACTCCGAAACTGAATAAAATATATTTTCTGTGTTGAATTTTTTTCTATTATTTCAGGCTGAATTGCAGATTACTTGTATACATGTATATTCAAAACTGTAAAGAGACAATTATAGAATTAAATGAATTACATATGCTTCTTTTCTCTTTTTTTAAGAATAAAATATTGCATGAATCAACACCAGTCAGGAAATAATTAGAGTGGTAATAGAAGAATGTTGTGCTTGAAGAGAGAGGAATATGAAAACCGGCATCCATGGTGTGCTGTAAGTGCTAAAAACGGCCATTTGTAGAAGGCAGCTGGGCAGCAATCGCATGAGGCATCATATACCGCCCATATGAATGTTGCAAGGAGAAAAGCAACTGGATATAACGATGGAGGGGCGTTAACAACAGACTACTTTTGAAGTTATTTGGATCCAAATGATTTCCTGATTTTAGGGGAAAACCATAGGGTTAAATATTCTTCTATATTTGCCTACTTACACTGACTATTTAGATGAAGCCATTTTGATCCCAAAGTTTATAAAAGTTTTAAATTATTCCCCAGATTGATTTAATGGGGGCTAAAATAGTGTTCACTGGGGACTATTTCAACACATATTAAAAGTGTATGGGGATTAAATTGACACTTCTATGAACTCTGGGACTAAAATACCCCTTGCAAAGAGTCAAGAGACTATTTTGATACTTTTTTGTTGATAAATTAAGAGTATGTTTAGGTTGGCGGTGCGATGTCGCACCGTACTTTTTTTTGTTTGGCAAAACGCAAAAATTCACAGCTGAAAACTATATTTTACAATCGGACTTGGCTAAGGTTTCGTTTAAAGAATAATCCATATTCAACAAATCTCTTTTAAAAGCCACATCTG